AGTTCAGGCTGGCCTTGAGCTCACTTTGTAGCCCAGGCTGGTCTTGAACTCTCAATGATCCTCCCACCGCAGCCTGCCTGCGAGTGCTGGGATTAGAAGTGTGAGCCACCACACCCAGCAATTATCCGGCTTTGATGCATCTTAAAATATGACAACAAAACCCTTATTTACATTTTAATGTATTAAAAACTGTCTTCTAAGACAGTATTGTCTCCTTTTTTGCCAGTAGAAAGAACAGTCCAGAATCTCACTGGCTCCTTTTACTTGAGTCACTTAAGTTACGGGGCCTCAGTTTATCTCTAAAATAATTTCAGCCAAACCACTTTCCCTAGCTGATATTTTGTATGCTAGGCTCAGAGATACTGTTTTGTAAATTAATTCACTTATGCACCTCTCCAAGTGTGTCTCTGTCTGTCTGTCTCTGCCTCTCTCCATACAGATAGATGCATACAGATAGAGATATATCACACACATATGATATATACCTTTCAGAGCTTTCAGCGTTAACAAATGGCTAAGCAACGGCACTGTGCCACAGGTTTGCACCACTGGCCTTGCATTGTGGTAGGAAGATACACAGATGAATAAGACAGTCTTTGTGCCCTTTATCTAACAAATAAAATGAACTTTAAAATGCTTTTAAAGCTTCTTTTCATAGATTTACATTAATGTTGAAAATATTCAAATGCTGATGCTACAAGTTACTGGAAATATATGCATCTGACATGATGTGAGAGATGAGGAGAGGGCAAAGGGAGGAAGAAAGTGGAGGAGGCAGGGAGAGACAAATATGCATTCACTGCTTTTACACATTTTAAAGATAGAACTATGTTCTGGATAAATAACCACTCATGTATTTTTTTTCTTTACAGCCAACTGTATAACTATATATACATATTATAACACTGCTAACTAGAAAAAGATCAACCACTTTTAATCAGGCAAGTGGTTACCTAAAATTGTTTGGCATATAAAACACTCAAACTCTCCTTAGTTAGACTTAGTCATCTATAAGTGGTGGTGTTCATCTGTCAAGTCATCACCAAGGGGGCCATAAAACTTGATATCCTCAAATTTAATGGAAAAAACAGACCTAAAATACAAGAGCTAAAGAAAAGCAGTATTCATAGTAAGACTAATGCTATCACATGAGCTTTGCACTTACTAAAACATGCTTAACTCCTTGCAGGTAAATTTCTCAATACTTTTGACTCAAGAAATTAAAAGCAGAGGCTGGGAATATAGTATTACAAGTACCCGCCTGGCAGGTGCAAGGTTTTGAGTTCACACACACACACACACACACACAAAAAAAAAAAATTAAAAGCAGCTTTTACTTAATATAGGATAATAATTGTCAAGAGCTCTAAACATCATTTATTGGAATTTTCCTTTCTGCTTCACATTACAATTTTCAACAACGCTATATATTTTTCCCAAGTAGTTTAAAATTTGGCAACACCTGCGTTGTCTGTCCTGGTGTCCAGGTCATTTAACTCAACAGTTCATTTTTTGAAGCAATGCCCATGGCAAATCTACTCCATTCCAGGCACTCTTCTGGGCACTAAGTTTTTTGTTTTTTGGTACCAGAAATCAAATCGGGACCCCACACTTGCCAGGCAAGCACTGTGCCACTGAACTATATTCCGACCCTTGAGTATTTCTTTAGACTCAAGAAAAACATGTTTTAGTGGTGTAATGAGCTACTGATTTGGGTAATACAAAATAACTAATTCATCAAAGGACAGACCTATAAGGCAGGCAAATCTCAAGTTTCAGTCCTGCCTGAGCAACTTCATTACCTAATGAAACTGTCTCCAAAAAAAAAAAAAAAAAAAAAATTTAAAGGTTGGAAATATAGCTCAGTGCAAGAGTCCTAGGTTCAATCCCCAGTACTGAAGAGGGTAAAACATAACAATACAAAACAAAAACAAAAGGAGAGATCTACTTCAAGTATAAGCAGAACACTCTACCACCAGACTGAAAAAGCACCTAATCTTTGACTCCGGTCCTAAATAAAGCAGTTAAAAACACATATATACATCTTCACAAACAATGTTTTTACACGTTTTATGTGGTACAATGGGATGAATCAAAATATTATAAATTTTTATTTTAATGACTAAAATTACATAGCAATCAACCAAACTGCTTTTTTCTTTGAAAGAACTCAAATTTTCTAATTTAACATCTATGATCTTTAATTCAAACAAATAAATGAATTACAATGAAACAAAGAAAAACATAACTGCATTTACAAGTGCTAGCTAGGTAATCCAGAAGTATCATTTACTTGCTTTTGACCTCAGTGCTTCCTAAATGACATATTACTATCTACACCCTAGGAATTAAAGTTTAGTAAATGATTATTTCACCAAAGATCTTTAGAAGTATGATCTTATTTAATTCTTACAACAAACCTTTTTGTACTATCCCACCACCACTCCCATATTTACAAATGAGGAACCTGAAATTAAAAACAAGTTGAGGAATTACTGACTTGCTTAAAGTACAAAAGTAATAAGTAAGTGGGAAAGCTGAGATTTAAGGCAGAAATATTGATCACTGCTCATGTTATTACCCTTCCTGCTACTCAGCCTTCACATCATCAATATTATGACCCAAAATATATGGCATCTTAACTGCTATCACCTTCATACTATCCAAATCAAATAACATCACAGGCCATATTTGTTCTCAGGTAGGTTGTTCACTAAGAATCATCATCTATTTCATGCCAGACATTCCACTTGACACTTAAGATTTCTATTTCCTTATCTTATTCTTCGCTGTTCAAAAAACAATACATGTAACTCCAGAGGCTGGAGCAGGGCTGCCATGACTTCACAGCCAGCATGGGCCGCACAGTGAGTTCAACGCTAGCTTACACTTCATAGCAAGGGCCCCCTCACGCAAAAAAAGAAAAATGTACAAATTAATAGTTACTGTTATATTACTTTACACCTTAACTTGAGTGAGGTACCAGTAACTCCAGAACTTCAGATATTCAATAAAAGACAAAGCCCCAAAAGAAAACAAAGCTAAGATGAGGAAACAAAAAGATATGTCTTTCCTTTTTCTTTTTAAAATTAGTATATCTATGTAAGATAGTAGCCTGCAAGTCAAAGAAGAATCCATCAAGTTCCTTTTCCCTAGTTCTTCTTGACTGTAACTTTACTAACAATAAAATTTAGTGATAGACTTTAATAATCTGTACTTCCACTAATTCTCCCTTATAGCAGCTCTACTTTCCCCTAATTTCCCCTCCTAGCTTACTATATAATCTATTGGAGATTACTACAAAGAGGCTCTGAGCAGGATTTAAATTTTACTAATTGGCTTTCTATGTTTATCTGTGAGTCTGTCCTAGGCGTAGGCCCCTTGCCTGGCAACAGAAGCTGATTCATAGTAAGTGAACCTCTATGAATCACTGGTCCTGGCTGAGGCCTGCAGTGGCCTGTGAGGCCAGAGATACCTCAAAGGGCAAGATAAGGCCACAGCTGCGGACACTCTGGCTCCAACTCCAATTAACAAGTAGAGACTGCAGCTGCAGAAATTACTCCTACAGTCTCATTCCTACCATGTCTTCATGATAAGGACAGTGCTACCGAATTGACTTGATTCATTACTTGGAGACCTCCTTCAAGTCACTCCCAAGGTCCTGCTCATTGCCTACACTTTCCTCAGTTTCCCCACCCTTGTTGGACCTAATAAATAAAGTGGGCAGTCCAGAGAAGTCTTTTTGTTAGCCCTCAGAGTCTCGAGTTCAGCTAAAGGGTTTTGACCCTTCTAAAGCCCTAAAAAATCATACAATTTGTCTCTTTTTATTTAAACCTCCGCCATACACTTGTTTGGGAGATCAGGGATTTAGGTCAGGACCCAATAATAATCTACAGAATTATGCTTTCTGTTTAACAACTATCTCTGACATCCCCACCCACACCCCACCATGTAAGTTTCATAAGAGCAAAGGATCTTTCTATGATTTATTCATGATTTGCTAACTATACCAACTGCCTCTCCAACAGTACCTGGCTCATAGTAAGCACCCAATAAGAATCTTAACAAACACTTAAGGAACCACGAATTAGAAAGGGAATAAATTCTAGTACTAGTCAAATTAATATAGTAAGAATTACCTCTAAGAAAGAAAGAACAACAGCTTATAGCAGTAACTATAAAAAAAAACAGTGATCAAGGCTTACTGAAATACAAAATGAGCAAATGTAAAAGCCCTTATGAACAAGTAAGGCCCACTCAATATTTTATTGGAGAACAAACACATTATGCGAACACTGTGAGAAGACTGTCATTTTACAGTAGCATAACACACAAAATCTTAGCAATAACAGTGTTTTGACTACATGAGAAATGTTGCGAGTTCCAGACCGGCTACAAGGTGAGCTCAGGCCAGCCTGAACTGGACAGTGAGACTTTGTCTCAAAAAGACCAAAAATTTTTTTTAAAAAAATTCCTTTCTATCTATTGATACCTTTCTTCCAACAATTTCCCACTGGGTCAGTTATGCAATGTTTTATTTGATATCCCCAGTCTGGGAAATACAGATCCTCAATAAATGCTTATTAAATGATGCTCTCTACAAAAATTTCAGCATATTTCTTTCCCACTCATTTCGCGCTGAGATACTTTTCCTCAGTGGTCTGTTTTTCCCACTTGATCATCAAGTTCCTAAAGACTGACTCTTCAGTTTGTCCTGGGCACTCAGTAATGTCTGTTGAATTTGGTTGGACAACAAAACTTATAAATATGTTATATTCAGCTCCCTCAATCAAACACTACATAGAACATATCCTGAATTTGCAGTCCTTGTTTCTGGAGGATTTAAAATGCTCAATACATGTATGACTTGTATTCACAAAAGTTCAGTAATATACACTGAAAGGAGCATAAGCTCTACTTAAAAGGTAAACACATGGCATAAAATGCTTTACAGACAACCTACTCAAGTAGGAAAAAAAAAAACATTTAACAAACAGTACCTCAGTCTTCCCACATTCATCAGGTGGATCCTGGTGTATGGCCATTTGATACTTGACATATAAAGAAAAGGACTGGCTGAAGGACGACTTGAACTCTGGGTCCTCAAAGGAGACAGGTACTAACCTCACCTTCAGTGCAAGGAAAATACAAGCAAATGCTATTGAAACATCTCTACCTAAAGGTATGCTTCTGAAGGTGAGGCTAGAGTAAGATCTCCGCAAATCCACTTCCAAAGCTCAGTGCTGGAATATGTCATGAAAAGAAATCCTGGAAGAGTTCACTGGCACACAGTCTGAGTGCCAACTTTATACTAACGAAATGAAAAGGCTTCTCACAAGGGCCAGGAGAATGTTTTGTTTGTTTGGGGGATTTGTTTGCTTATGATGATAAATTACAGTTTCTCCTCTATCCATCTATCTGGTTCTTTAGTCAACTCTCACTAGTTGATAATGTTGCTAATAGTGGTCATGGCCACTAATTTTGTAATCTTTACTTATACTAACATTTTAAGGCTCTTTTCCCTTCCAGATTTGTCTTAGGTCATTTGATATAGGAAATTTAATGCATATAAGGATGTCTATTAAAACATTCTACTGCCTTACTTTTCTAGTCCTGCTCAGTTATGAGTGGGTAATACAGTCATAAAGAATAATTCAGCTGTTATGAAGATGAATAAAACATACCACATCAGACACACTATGCTTACCATGAAAATATAAATTTTCTTATAGATATTTTAATTTACAGCTCTATTATTCACTTTCGGATAAATTCAACCAGAAATAGTGATTTTATATAAAGATAATTTTACATGTTCTTTTCCACTTTGAAATTACATGTAACTGGCACTTAACATGGCCCTAAGTAAAATTTGCACTTTCAGAATGTCCATTAACTCAGCCCTATGTCTACGCAGATATGCTGCAGATTTTATATGACTACAATGCACCAAAAATAAACCAAGGTTTCATACAATATCAAATGGAAGGGAAAGTTCTGTTTACATAGAAAAATTATAATTGGCCTGCTGACCTGGCTCACAGTTGGTTTATCAGGTGGGTCCTTGTGAATAACCATCTGGTAACGTTTATAGACCTGGTAAGACTCCTGAAATGTGGCTTTGAACTGAGAACTTGGTGGAGATGATCTCACCACCCTCACCTTCAGAAGGAGTTAAAAAACAATGTTCATTAATTCATTCATTTAGTCATTATTCATTTTGTGGAGTACACATTAACAATTACTCCACATTACAATTACTAATCAAAAACCAAGACGTTTCAACAAATATTAAAAATATTTTAACAGTAAAAATCAAGTTAGTTAATAAAAGTACTTTCTGCCACTTACAGACATTTTAGGAAAGCCAAGGAGGATTCCCCCCAAACTCTAAGCCTTGTTTCTGATGACTGAATTATACAGGCCTGCTTGTATTATAAGCAGGCAGGACACTTCCAGGAAGCAGTCATGAAACAATCACAAATACTGTTCAATTTTAGTAACACATAACTCATCATCAATCAAAGACTGAAAGTGGGATACTGTCAGCCACTTTCATTATTAGTAACTCTAAACTTAAACTTTGTAAGTTAATTAAAAAGACAACCCTCACAACATGTTCTTATTTCACAGCATATTTTAAAATGAAGAGCCTGAAGTTTGATTTCCTATGTTCAAATCTTAGGACGTCATCATATTTGCTAAGCAAATTAACCTCATGTAAACTGGTTCTTTCATATATAAAATGAGGATGAGTTAAAAGTACTAACTGCACAGAGCAATGGTTAACACATATTTAACATTAATCATTTACTAACCAGTTAAAATATATTAGTGAAATAAAATTAAATGTAATACAATAAAAGCACGATGGAAATTTTCTGTGTGCCGTCAACAAATTCTTCTATAAACAAAGAGTGACGCTCAGTAGATAACAAACCTCTACACATCCTCAGTCACACTGCATTAAAAAAATAAAAGTTCATGCCTTTTGCCTTAGAATTGTTATGAAAGGTGTCGATGATTCCCTCAATACCTACCTATTTGTCATCAAAAGATAAAAACCTTTTCATAGGACCAGGGATTTAGCTCAGTGGTGTAAGTGCCTGCCTGGCAAGCAGGAAGTCGTGAGTTTGATTCTTTGGTTTAAAAAAACCCTCTTCATAAATATTTAAGTAGGAGGCTGAGGGTTTAGCTCAGCAGCATAAGCGCCTGCCCACTAAGTATGAGGTTGTGAGTACGGTCCCCAATACCAAAAAAAAAGTAGCTGTTAAAATATATGTCTGATATATATTTTTTTCTGAAGGTTTAGAATACATCAAAGTTAATTCTCACTTTATGCATAACATTAAGAGGTATTCTTAGATGATACTTAACAATATAGTCAAAAGTTGACCAGTTTCTAATTAGGTATGAAAATATGACAAAATCATTATGGCTAATGGTTTAGAAAAAAATGTTTTTTTTGAGAGAGAGGGTCTTTCCCAAGCTGGCAAGGAACTTGTAATTCTGCTGCTTCAGCCTCCCAAATAGCTGAGATTACAGGTATGCATTTACATGTACAAATTAATATTGAGGAATTTATATTGACCTAGAAATGCAAATAAGTTTGGGGGAAAAAAGCTTTAAAAATATTTGTATTATGCCTACATTTGTTGGAAGTACTTCATGAGAAAGAATTTTAGTAGTACAATTTAATGATTCAGTTAATTCCCAAATGCTTGTTTACATATGTAACAAGGGCTGCTGCCTTCATCAATGTCGGAATTTTATAATGAATAAAATGGCACTTGCTTATATGATAGACTCTCTTTTACTATCTAAATTATCTTTTACTATGTAAACTTCTAAATGAAATTTTAAAGACTATCTTTCTTGCTTTAACTAATTTCAATCAAGGGATACAAAAAGCTAGAACACCCTCCTTAATAACAAACATGTTAAAACTTGTTTTCACAGCTTTCATAGCCAGTTTCTAAAGTATTCTCAAAGAACACTTTTAAAAATAGCAGTTAATAATTGTATTTTGAAATTTTGTTTTTTCTGTTTAAAATGATTTTTGTAAAAATAGCAGTTAACTTAGTAAATAGACGCTCCTATACTCAATTCCCTTTTATTGTTTACTTAAATTACAAATATCAACAGTGAGTATAACATCAAAGGAATTAAACAAAGTACCCAATAGAAGACAAGAAAAACAAACAAAACCCTTCAAAGTACCTCTAACTTGTGTGATGCATTCTCTGGTAAAGATTCAAATATTAAATCTTCAAGTGATTTGGGATGGTTGGATTTAGTCTTTGGTGGGAACGCAGACGGTGCCTGACCTTGAGCCTGGAAACCCTCAAATTCTCCAGCTGGGTTTTGCTGCATGAGTTTTAACATTTTCCTTTCTTTACGAATTTCCTTGGCTTTTCGACATGGAGGCTTACTCAAATCAGCCCCTTTGCCTAAAAAGAATTTCCAAACATTAGACCAATCACAATTGGCCCCAGAAATGTTTTTTTCATCAATCTCAAAGATATTACAAGTCTAAAGAATCCCAACAGGTTAACTCTTAGGTAGATGTTCCACATTATTCTGGTACCTTGAAGCACCTTTGAAGCAGGAGTTGCCAAAAAAAATGAATAGTCACAGAAATATTCCATGGTAGTTCTCATGGCTGAAAACCTTTTATTTATAATATCCATTCACTTCTATGATTCTTTAAAAAGAACATAATCAAATCAAGTGTCTTCTTGCTTCTGTGGCACACATTCTAGCTTTCTCTAGTAGCATTAATAATACTGGGGAATAATACTCAGGAATCAGTGAGTAGTGATCCCAGCCAGAATAGATTCTGGCAGATTTTTTTAATGAAAAACATCCTTGTTTAGGTTAACATACTTCTGTTTCTCTCTAAGTACTATTTGCTTCAGTTCTAGTTAGTTTTTTTGTTTTTTAAAGAGAATTAAGCAGCCAAGGATTTAGCTCAGTGGGCTTAAGCACCTGCCTAGCAAGCTGAAGGTTGTAAGTTTGAGCCCCAGTACCAAAAAAAAAAAAAGCAGAATTTTTAAAAAATACAGAATTTCAAGACAAGATGATAGGAAATTAACAATGATTATATTGCATGTTGCTGTCTTCAAAATAGTTGCTCAGATTACCAGATATAGATATGCAAAACTGATCAAACAATGCAAACATTAACTGTTCCTTTGAACTAACAGAATGAGTAGTACAAATATCTCCGCTAAAGAACAACTGGGGTGAGGGAAAGGGGAAAAGAAGGGAGGGTTCAGGGATATAGCTCAGCAGCACAGCACCTGTGCAAAGTCCTGAGTTCAATTTCCAGTACCTAAAAAACAAAAAAACAACAACAAAAAAGAGCTTTGTTCTAAGAAACAGACTATTATCAAACTGATAATAACCCTTTAAGATACAAAAATTTTAACAATAAACTACAAATTTTAATAAGGAGTCTTTAATCTACTAAAAGTTTATTCTAAGAAAAATCATTTAAGTGATAAAGGCAAATAATGGTAAACACAAATGAAGACCTCAAAATAATCAAAGAATCACACTTTTAGAACTGCTAAACAACAGAATATCTGCATCCATTTTAATGTTTTAGAAATTTTAAGAGGATTTCTCATTATACAATGTTTAAAAAAGTAACACTGGTTATGTATATGTACACTAAAAATATTTAGAAAAATACTGAAAAAGTATGGCACAATGTTAACCATCAGTTTCGAGTTTAAAAAGAGAAAAGACTACTGTGGTTTTCTCCTTTCTCAAAAATTTCTATAATAAAAATCACTCATAATTTTTAACATGCTATTAATGAACCACAGAAATAAGGTATTTTTTAAGATCCAAAAACACAGGGGAGAAAAATAAAGATAAAAAGAAGCAAAATATACCATGTACAGGTATAAATTTCCTATGATAAATGTTTTCACCGTGTATATCTAAAATATACCAATAAAAAGAAAAAAAAGCATAGTATTCACAAATCACATGTAAGTCTCAATAAGAAAGTTTCTAAGAGTACCACATTTTTTTTTATAGAGAAGAAAATTAAGACCCAGATTGACTGACTTTGTATAGACAAGCTGCTCAAAAGAAGTTCACACACAGAGATCACTTACAATTTCATTAACATATTTTCTACGAAAAAACAAAAGTTTACCCAATAGAGAAAACTTTGAATAAACTTAATAAGCCAGGTAACAAAAGACAGATTCTTTCACCAGCTAGGCGATTAACCCTAATGCCTTATGGAATCAATTGTCTTGAGTCCCACTGTGTCTTTTGTCAAGTTGTTCTTGAAAGGTACAAAATGTAACAGCATTGGTAGGAAATAGCTCAGGAGCGTAAGTACTTGCCTGGCATGGGCAAGGCCCTGAGTTCAATTCCTAGTGCCAAAAAATAAAAAAAAAATTAATACTTTGACACCAGCCATCTTAGGTCACAGACTAGCTCTGTCACTTGGTTAGATGACCTGGGGCAAGTTTCCTTGTCTCTGCAAGAAAGATAATAATCAGTCTCACCTCTGGAGTTCCTGTGAAGAATAAATGAGTTAATACACATGTACTTCATAAACCCATATCCTACCATTGTATCAAGTTTACTTCTTACTATTATCGATATCTGCATTACCACATCTAAAATAACTTTTACTTAATCATTTCAGACATAAATCCTTCATTTTCTAATAGTTACTGAAAACTGCACTCCTTACCAAAATTTTAAAATTATGAACAAATTATAAACTACAGAGGAAAGTTAGAGGCACCAATTTTCAGCATTTTTAAGAAACATGACATTGCATTCACAATGTAATTCATTCACTGCACTAAGCAACCCTTATGATTTTGCTTCTTCAAATATACATATCACCATTTTTACTTTCTACAAATCAGAATTTCAGCTTAGAGAATACAGATTTTTCAGATCAACAAACTTTAGCAGAACACAAAACAGATAATCAGTGTAAAATCGTTTACCATAATAACCCTGAACTCAAAAAGTCAGCAACTCAAGAATTCTAGACTAATCTCTACTGCTTTGACTAGACACCAGAAGACCTGCTTAATTTCTAATTAAGTATAAAGGAATATACTGATAACATTTTTAAAACAGAAAGTGGAAATGCAGGTTTCAAAGATGATCCAAAAATGCCTATCATTTAAAAATAGTCTCAGATTCTTAGTGAAACATAAACTGGTTGGGGGAAAAAAAATTACACAAAAAGTATTTAATGCATGCTTCAGTAATCATACTGTTGAAGGTAAGGTTATTATTACTTTAAAATTATTACGTAACATGGGGTAAGGAACAGGTAGCTAGGTGATAGTCCAGTCTAATTCTACTACCCCAGGTGAGTGGAGGCAAACCTATGGCATGCATGCCTCAGTGGGCTGTTTGTTATCACTGAAAGCTCTAAAAGATCTGCCATCACTGCTTATGAGAATCAAGCTTCTGCCTAAGAAAAAAACAAAAACAGAAATATTGTTTTCCTGAATTTGAAAAGTAGTGTCAATATGAAGTCATTACCTGTTCACTTTTTTAAAAAATTCTAGAAAACAATGATCAAACCAACAGGAATAATATATAGTCTATGATCTCCCCAATACCGTGTGGAACTAGGCCTAGTTGAGAAAATGAAGCCACAAGCAGATTCACGACATCACATCACATGATAGCAAGGAGACTCACAAAGATTACTAGGACTGTATCAAAACGATATAGAAGCCAACTGAAAGAAGTTGTCACAGGAACAATGGAATGCAACCCAAAACTATGTTTAGATCTCTGAGTTCACAAAGATAACAAGGGAACCTAGCTGCTGGCTAACAGAATATGTTACTTTGAAAATAAATTTTAAAAGATTCAAAATTTTAGCTTGCCTTTCTTTTGAGTCTTTATGGGAAGGAAACAGATGAGAGGAAGTTTCCTTATGAAAATATTCCAGCCAAAAAATAAGGAATAAAATGCTGGAATTAGAATGTCTAAAGAATTAACAGATTGGGGCTGGGGATTTAGCTCAGCGGCATAAGCGCCTGCCTTACAAGCAGGCAGTCGTGAGTTCGATCCCTGGTACGTATAAAAAGGGAAAAGACAAAAAATAAATAAATAAATAAAAAGAATTAACAGATTTTAGCACTACTAGGACTAATAAAAAGAGGCACCCAGACATTGTGTATCTCCTGAAAGGACATTCAATCACCCATAGCATACCTTTCATCATCTTCAAGTCCCCCACTCTGATTGAGATTTACCCCCTCCAAAAAAGAAAGAGAGGAAGGAAGGAAGGAAGGAAGGAAAGGTAACCCCAATTTTGATCAAAGTATTCAAGTATCAATGTACAAGTAGGCAGAACAAGTTAAACTGCACTGCAGATGTAATCGGTCAGCTACAGAAGAGACAAAAACCACGACAACTCATTTCCTTCAACAAATAATACTATGCAAGTAAAAAGTGGGGGGAAATGACAGGGAAATGTATAGAGCAATAAAGATTTTTCAAGTATATCAACCAATTTTTCAGACCAATTGTCTAGTTCTTGACACAAGCACATAAAAACTGGAACTTGAACACTGAATAGTATTAGTATTAGTATTAGTATTAGTATTAGTATTAGAACACTCAATAGGATTAAGAAATTCTAGGGAATTGGCGAACAGAGTTGAGAGCGGGACTGGCAGGGAGCCCTGCATCAACCTGTGGTGAGTGAGAGGAACGAGGACACTTCCATAGACTAGGAGGCTCCAGCAAAGGACATACTGGGACCGGGCAGATTCCATCTGTCTTAACAGGTTGTATCTTACTGGATTTTATTATATGTGATAATATAAGCAAAAACTTTTATAGACAAGGAGATTATACAGAAACCATTGTTCATTTTCTGTTAGTTGGTTCTAAATACCCTGTAATACTGTCATTCTCTTAAATGGTTTTACATTGTCTTGATATGTTTGGTGCTACAGTATACGAAGTTATACTCAAAGATTTCAAGGAAAGAGACACTATGGTAACTACTTTTATGTCAGGATATCTTGTGGTGAAACACAAGATTTTGCTTAAATGGTTATGCTTTGACCTGTGCTGTTTTGTTGTAATGCCGTCTTTTATCTCAATCTCTTTTTTTAAAATTATTTACTTTTTTATTTTTATCTTTTTAATTAAGGGAAAAATAAATAAAAAATAGCAGGATACATTATAGTAACCCATTCTGATTTCCTATTAACTTTATATGAAACCCTGTATTGCCCTCACCATCTTGTTTTGACTGATTTTCCTCTATTCTGTTTTGCTTGACAATACCAAGTTCGAAAGTACAGGCAACAACTGTGAAGACAGTAAGATTCATTATGACACCCATTCTGGTTGACTATTATCTTCTTTTGAAGTCCTATAATGTCTCCAATGTTTTGGTTTTATTCTTACAGTTTTGTTCAATTTTATTATAACTGATGATATAGGCAATTCTTTTTAAGATAGCAAGAGGCAGTATGGTAACCATTGTTGATCACCTAGTATTTTGTTTTTACATTATCTATTATGTCCATCCTTTTGATTTGACTGACTCTGTTCTGTTATGTTGGTTTTATTCTCTTCAAAAACAGTAATAATAATAAAACCCAAAATGTGTAATTGTGTACAAAAGAAAGGAAAAGAAAGTGCTCTAAAGGATATAACTGCATATATATTTAAGTGTGGATAGATACCCATATTACTGAGTTTTGTTGGATCATTGAACTAAACTGCAATTTGTTTGAAAGTCCACTTTATATGCTTTAATCTTGTAACTTGAACAAATATTTCTAAGATGACAATATGTAATCTATTAACTAGTGATTTCCTACTGTATATTTTTTCTGAAATTCTGTATAACTTGTACCCTTTTTCTTTTTTTTTTTTTCTCCTTAAATAAAATTAAAAAAAAAAAAAAAAAGAAAGAAATTCTATAGGCCAGGCATAATGCTGGCTACTTGTAATCCCACTACTCAGGAGGCTGAAGCAGGAGGATAACAGCAAGTTCGAGGCCAGCCTAGTCTACACAGTGAGTTCAAGGCCATGCTGAACTAAATAGTGAGACCCTATCCCCCCCACCATCCTCCAAAAGAAATTTTATTCAAGTATAATAATGGTATTGTGAGTAGTTCTTATTTTTCAGAGATGAATTCTGAAATTCAGGATCACATAATGTCAGGAAATTACTTAAATATACTACTGAAAGAGAACTAGATTTGGGTACAGATGAAACAGAAGTGGCCATCATAATTAAATGTTTCAAACAAGGACAGAGTAGATGAAAATTTGTTATACTATTGAATCTAGCTCCCCTATATTTCAAATTCTTTAAATTCTTTTCAACAAAGGTATTTAATTTAACCAACTGTAACTAATTTTTAGAATAAAGTATAAATGAAAAAGCCTCTCACATGAGAGAATAAAAACATAAATTCTCTAAATCATATTTCATTCAACTATTAGTATTAATTAGGAAAAAAAATCTCACACTAATCAATTTAAATACAATTAAATCCTTCTACAAAAACTTGATAGAAATACAAAGTTTTTGGCACTGAAACTTGTGTAATATAGTTTAGACAATAAAAACTAAAATAGTAAAAATCTCTCCCTTGAATCATTTCAAATAAATAACATAAAAACTAATGGAAAAACTGCCTGGCTTCACATTTTATGCAGTAATTTTGAAAAAAATCATACATATACATATTTTATATGGTAAACCCACAATGTTGGGCATATTTTTAAGCCTAATTCTTTTATAAGGGAGAATATAGGGGAAATTTTTTATGTTATTAAGATTAATTTAAACATTAAATCTAGGCAGCTTTAAATTAAAATTTATTATAATTACATAAAAATTCAATGATAAACTGCAGAATCTCCTATAATTTACAGTTTTATAATACCAAAATAACAATGTTTTATCACCAAACCTTTCAACACTGTCAAAAATATGAGTCTCAAACCTCTAAGGCTCTCAGGTAATAAGATGGAACTAAAAATGTATTTGGGGCTGGGTGTGGTGGTGCATGCCTGTAATTTCAGCACTTGGAAGGCTGAGTCAAGAAGATCAAGGCAAGTTTGAAGCCAGCCTGGGCTATACAATGAGTTCAAAGCTAGCCTAAACTACATAGCAAGATCCTGTCTCAAAAAAGACAAAAATGTATTTGAGGAGATAAAGCTGTTAGTTTAGGTTTTTTAAGCATAGTAGTTTACAAAGATACTTTGGCCATCTAAATCCAGGTAATTGTATCTCATTAAAATGGGACTGTATCTTACAGTGTTACAAAAAGATCATCTTTTTGGCTGACAGCAGGGACCAGGGGTTACAATGACACAAGCAAAAAGAAAAGCAGCTAATATGACTTGCTATCAAATGTGCATTACCTGGCTTAGGAGCCATATGAACTTTAATTGAATGTGACGGTTCACCAGAGCCCAACTTCTCTTCTATAGCTTGTGAATGAGATTCTTCTCTCTTTGAGCTTTTCTCTTTCTTCTTCTCTTCACTCTCTAAGCTCTCTTTGAGATCACTGCTGAGTGTTTTAAGATCACACTTTATATCCAATTTGTTTATTAATGCGAAGTCACCCGCAACAGTGTCTTCCATTGTGGAATCCATGGGCTCATCTACAAATCAAAAGAAAAAAGTCCGTCAGCCGTCAGCCAGGTTGTTTGACACAGTTAAGATAAACAGCAGACTATATAATGTCCCCATTATCCACCGTAGTAAGGATTACTGTTTAGCAACTGAGTTCACGGTCTCACTATTTAAAAAAAGGGTTATATTTAAAACTGTGGTAGCCTAGCAGGAAAATGCACCACCAGTCCATTTGCAAGTTGAGACCATGCTCCCAACAATGGAATATAAAATGACTGATAAGCCTAATTTTGTCTTACTTGTTAAAAGAAAAACTGTGACCTAGAACTTCCCACCATCCCCCCTTCACTGGCTGCATAAAAAAAAACCAGAGTGACCCCGGAAATAACATGAAGGGACTCACAGAGCGAGTAAGGGACTCACAGAGCGAGTAAGGCTGCAAGCTAACCTGAAACACGCACACTGAGCTCCTAGGTGAGGAGGGAAAGGAACTGATACTACTGTTCAGTCCTTGGATTTGGTGGTTCTTTCTCACAGCTGTCTCAGCTTCTACCCTAATGAATTAAGTATCAGATACAAATAATTCAGAAGTCTATAAATCAAAGAAATCCATAATAAGCCAAATAAGGGCTGGGGATTTAGCTCAGTGATGTAAGCGCCTACCTGGCAAGCACGAGGTGGTAAGTTCAATCCCCAGTACCACAAAAACACAAAAACAAAAAAGCCTTGCAACGTAATAAGCCAAATAATCAAATGTAAAAGCTAGATTAAAAGACAGAACACTCTGAATTTTGATGTTTACAAAATCATCAATTTACAGCATCTTCAAAATTTTGATTTATATATTAACTAATTATGACATGATTCCTAGACATCAAAAAAAATTTGTAAAATACTAGCAAACAATAGAAAAATTTCACAACTCCAAAAAAATCACATCTTTAAAATGATCTTCAGTTTTCTTTCCAAATTAGACTATTCTGGCATAAACAGTACTTCCCATAACCCTGATTTGTGGGGCCAACAGTAACAGCAATGTCAATGCTGATAGCAGCCTCTGTCGCCACAGGAGTGGTACACGATCCCCTGTCTCACCTAACATGAGATGTTTGAAAATTAAGAACCTTGGAAAGATACATTCATTTTAAGAAAATAGTCTTTAGACCCAATCTCATCTTACCCTCACAATTTCTTCTGAAAATCTCCCCTTTAGCCAGAAATTTCAACATTTTTTTTAAAACTTTCTTGTGTGATTTTGATGGCTGAAATTGTAAAGGTCGGCACCTAAGAAAGCAAAGTAAGTATTTTAAAATTTTTTTTTAAAAAAGTTTGACAAAATAAAGTCAGTTCTGTGTAGGATTTGGTATACTGAGGCAAGTCTCATGCTTGGGATTCCTGGTTAGAGGACAGGTTTACTGTAGCCTCCAATCCTACTTTAAACGTCACTAAAACTACCACGAAGGGATTTTAAAAAACAAACACAATCATATAAACCCACAGGAAAAAGGAGAGGAGAAAAATGTTTGTAGCTAGAAAGCAGGTTCTGTGAGTATCAGAAAAAAGATTGACAAAGCTAAACATACTAAAAGAAAATTTACACAGCTTGGAAAAGGGCTTCACAATAAATGGGGCTAGGTACACAGAAGGCTACAAAAACAAACAAGATAATTATTAATTTCCAGGAAAAGCAAACACTTGTACAAGCAATCACAGGCTATAACACAGTTAAGCTGCAAAGCACATTACAGTCATAATGTGAATATTCAGTCTGTGAATAATTTACAGAAAATCACAATATTTTTAAGATGGGGGGGGATTTAGTTCAGCAGCGCAAACACCTGCCTGGCAAGTGTGAGATCATGAGTTTGAGCCTCAGTACAAAAAAAAAAAAAAACTCAGATGGGAAGTTAGGAATGAGGCCTTAAAGGAACCTGAATGAATGTGACAAGGAAAAGAGAAGTGAGACAGTTAAGTAGGAAGGGAAGTAAGGGAGAAGGTCAAAGGAAAAAAGGGTAGAAGGGAATGAGGGAAGGAGGGAGACAATGTGCCAATACATGCCCAGCCCAGGTAGCAGGGCCAGGCAAGATTTCACAGGCAGCACCACAGCGAGCTGCCCGCCACAGGGCCCAGGGCCAGGCGCCTGGGGCCGCGGGAGAGGCTGAGTAGCTGTGCTGCCCCTGGTGTAGTGCCTGCCTTACTACCGTGTACCCAAATGATGAAGGGCTGCCCCAGAGGCTCCGTGCACCTACAACAGCTGCTCGGACTGCGCTGTGTGCTTTATCTGTCACCTAGGCCTTGTCTCTTGATTGAGCGATGTCATGATGTGAAAGAATTAGAAGAAAAACAGCAGTGTAACTGATTCTATCTGAAGGAAGTAGGGGAAAAAACAACAAAATCTCACATGTTGAGTTTTTTAAAACTCTTGCATAATAGTGATAAAATAAACCAATCCACAAGTTATTTTGCTTTAACAGAGAAGAGGTAACTTTTTTCCCCTTTTGATTTCTATCTTTCTTCCCTAGTGACAAAGCATAAAATCACGGACACCAGAGACTAAGGCAGACCTTAAAGGTTCTGAAAACACTGAAAAGGTTACCTCTCCTGCAGGAGGAAAACCTGGGATCTAAAATGAAAAACACGAGTTGCGTGTTTTAAAAAGGGAACAAGGTCAACCAAATCTGAATTCTTGGAGCTGTCCCAGGCAGCAATGCCCACAGTCACCATGAGAAGCAGTACAGAGAACTCTGTGCCCTCAGTACCCACAATCAGTTCAACCAGGACACTAACACTCTCATGTAAGAAACACTACAAGAGATTTTCCAAAGGTTGTCTGGTGACAACCCACAAGAATGCTGAGACAGGGGAACGGTAACTTGAATGTCATTATGGAAGCACTGGTTATGAACAAGCAGGGGATCTCAATGTCACTATTATCACTAATGTCAAGGGTTTCATCACGAATCTACTCTCCCCAGTGGGGACCATTTAAATTGTCTCTCAAAGTGCAGCAATGGGTCTGCATTCAAGAGGTAGGGTGGGAAGTGGGTCAGGTACTACACCTTGACTGCAAATTCAAGATCCCTGAGTGTACTGGAGGGGAGGATAAGCTCATGAGGGAGCTAAAATGTCATTTGTAAGGAAAAAACTGGTAGTTCCAAAAAACATGGAAGCTCACGAGAACTGGAGGGCTCACATATACAGTTCTACCCACCCGCCTTTCTCCCATCCCCCAGGCCTTGGCAGTGTGCCGTGGTCCCTACAACAGTCTGCCCTCGCCATTTCCTTGAACATCTGCATTATCCCTTCTCCACAACTGGTACAGTCTTCTGCCCCATTTCTACACCAAAACTGGTGGGGAGCTCTTTACTCCTCTACGATGACACTTCAATCACACCAGTCAAGAAGTTATTGCCAACACTGCTAACTGTCCTCAAACAGATCCATCAGCACTGTCGATGATGGTAAGCCATTTTCTTGGAAGAGGAGGAAACTAATTCCTTTTCACAAAGCTTCTTGGGTCTATGCAAATGGTAATTTAAAGTATACTGTGTAACTGGAATCCCTGAGCCAATGGGATATGCAAAGGTGCTAAAAAGTTTCAAGACTGGTTTTTCTGTTAAAATCCAAATCAGGGACCCATACTGATACCTGAGAGCAAAAAGCGCTACTACCTTTGGTAAGCCCAACACTGATGCCCAGTAAGGGGCAACCCCAGGTTCTTTCTTGTTTTCATTCTTTTCTTTTTGTTAGATTTGTAATGAGTTTATTTATATGTGCTATTTTGTTTAACCAAATATTAAAAATGGTAAAGTCCATGAATGTCCTTCTGAATTCCATAATTACGTAAATAAAATAAACATTAGTATCATGCTGCTTAGGAAAAGCCCGGCATGGTGGCACACACCAACAATCCCCGAACTCAGGAGCAGAGGCAAAAGGATCACGATGAGTTCAAGGTCACTTTAGGTTAATAGTAACTTGAAGGCCATTCTCAACTACATAGCAAGACTCTGTCTCAGAAAAACAATAAATAAATAAATAAAATGTTTTAAAAAGAAAGAAAGAAGAAGTAACAGTACTATGATTATATAACCATGTTATTTCAAGATAGTTGAAAAATCAAAAGAATCAGTTAAGAGACTTGCTGGGCACGGTGGCATACAAGCTCAGGGCTAGCTTGGGCAAAATCTTGTCTCAAGATAAAATTTTTAGAAAGGGGGCTGAAGATATAGATTAGCCGTAGAATTCCCCTAGTTCAATTCCTAGTATCACAAAAAAAAAAAAAAAAGGCAAAAAGATTTGAAAGTAACTGCCAATGAGAATAGGAAAAAAGTGTTTCAGAGACACCTAAATTCCAAAATAAGTTTTATAGAGCTATTTGGTACTCTATGAGCATACATAATTCTGATAAAAAATTTTTTTTTAATTTTTAAAACGTACCCAGGAAGGTATACTCACATGCTGGGAAACCCCTAAGTTCTCTGCCCAACAAGAAACTAAATTATAAGATAATGTCTCTGACTCTCTAAAAGTTCTTATTATACTACTACAGTGAATAAGCAGAAGAAAAAACATGGAAAATGACTCCATAAGATTGATTTATGTAGAGAAACCAGGCAAAAGTAACAATTCAGGAAATGTTTGATTCCACTGAAATGCAAAAATAACATTTTACAATTAGTGTTTTGCAATGTTAATTGAATCTTTCCCCATACAAAACAATTTATGTAATTATATGTAAAAGTGGTTTATATATAACAGATACATAATGTAATTTACTTATCACCTGAAAGGAGCCCTTCTTTGAAGCCAGGGCTTTGTGAATGCTAGGCAAGTATTTGGTACCACTAAACTACAACCCCAGACATCCATCCACTTTTTTTTCTTTTTAAAAGAAAGGGGCTCACTAAATGGCCTTGTCGAGCCTCAAAATTTCAATCCTCCAGATTAAGTCTTCTGCGTAGCTGGGATTACAGGCATAAATCACCACACTGGGAAAAATCAACATTCTCTGATTCTAAAAATCCTAAGATTTCAGCCAAGTTCAATTGCTAGCTAAAAGAAAATGACTTGTTTTACAGAATATCATCTCTTCTTAACCATGAACACTGAATAAGGACAATAAAGCTATTCTGTAATTGTATTCGTTGCATAATAAGTGATATTAAGCTACTGATCAGCAATGAATATAGCATAAGTATATAGAAAACTCATTTGTATTTTTTTAATGAAGAATGTCTACCTAAAATAGAAATTAACACTAATAGAGTGTAAGATTCTGCTTTAAAACTGTACATAATCTTCATACTATAGATCCTCTTTGTATTGAAGTCTTACCTTATTGTATATTGAGGACAGCATGTTTGATTCATGACAGGCTTGTACACATATTTCCCACTTCTAAAATTGTAAAAATAGTTAGTTAATTTCTTACATGCTTTACACATTTACTATAGCAGATTAATACAGGATCACCAAATTAAGGATAAAAATCTAATCAATACTATGAAAATACATTTAGATTTAACTGCTATTCATAGCCTAAACAATCTTACAGGCAGACACACAAAAGACCAGAACCCAGTCTTTTCTTTCCTAAGCTTTTCTATATGAACTACAAGGTTCATCATCTCAATGTTGTCTCTTCAAATCTGCAAGTCCTTCAAAGACTTTACCTGTCACTAATACCACATGACCCATGAAAGGCAAGTACCATGGGCTGAGGGTATAGCTTGGCAGCACAGTGCCTGCCTGGCAAGTGCAAGGTCCTGAATTCAACTCCTACTACCAAGGGGAAAAATAAAGAAGTGCCCATGATTCTGTGGGACTAATATACGTATACTGGTGCTGTCACAGCCACACTTAGGTGATGCATGTGTGCCAGTGAAGTATTATACCACTAATCTGATTTTTTTCTAAGCATTCTAGAGCTCAGTTACTGGCCGAACCCTTCACTCAGCTCTCACACATTCTTTAACATCTGATTTTTTGAGCCTCATTATTAAATCTTGAAAAAATTTTAACTTTTTTTTATGGGGAGGATGAGGTAAGGTCTTGTTATGTAGTTCAGGTTGGCTTTGAACTCAGCGTAGGCTGACTTCAAACTCACAGTGATTCTCCTGCCTCAGCCTCCCAAGTGCTGTATTACAGGTGTATGCCACTACATCCAACAGGAAAATCTTTTAAACACAAATTCTGTTTCTCAATTACAAGAACTCAAATAGCAGAAAGTATCTTTGAATTAAAGAGTATTTATTACCTTCGCCATCCTCGATCTATAAGATCCTGATAATCCTGTACAGTCATGGAATGTGCCCACATGCCTGAAAAAATGGGGTGTGTTAATTACAACGGGTTGAATTTCCTTCTGTTTTAAAATTCAGAGTGTTTGCTTTAGTAATATGGGTGCCTTGGCTAAAATTCTAAAAGTCACATTGTGGAAAACTTTGCATACACTTCACACTTGTTAACTTGACATGCAACACCACTGAAAAGTAAGACATTTATTTTAATTAAAAAGTCAAATCCATAAAAGTAATAACATCTAATTATTAGTCAACAGTCTATGATATCAACAATCTAGATCCTCACTGCAATCAAATTGCATCTCATCTTCAAGCTTCAATAATAACACCATTAATTCACTGGTCTCTTAAGAAAAATTAGCAAATTTCTTGGTGCACATTAGTTCTAATTTATAAACATATATATACTTGAACACTAAAAGTAGGACAAAAGTACACAGTGATATTCTAAGTGAAAAACAAAGTAAATCAAATGTCAAGGCTACAAGAAGATGCAGAACTACGTGAACTGTATGATGAAAAAATTATTTAACTACAGGAGTAAAAAAATGAAGACTGCCAGAATCAACATTTAACATACGTGCATCAATGCACAATGCATTAAAAACAAAAATAAATTTTTCTCTTTTGTAATCAATAAACTGTATTAGAGATATGTAGAGGCATAGATAGGCCTGGCATAATTGAATATATCAGGAGAAAGCTTAGTACTAGAGTCCAACAGAAACATCCAGATACTTGAAAAGCATTCACTGATACCAACTAATCCATAAGCCAAATTTAGACATGTTTACTGTAACTCGTGGGAGATTCCATAGTCACAGTACAAAAACTATTTTAAAAAAAAGAAGAGGAGGAGGAGGATGGAACTTATTTCACTCCAAGGCAACCACTGCCACTATTTAAATGAAATGCTTCTCCTAAGCTTCATTCCACGCACAACTGCAATCATGTCACAGATGCGTTCTACAGCCTGTGTTTCTGTTTAACCATCTATATAATGCCACAAGCATTTGTCCACTTAGCTGGTATTCATTATCGTCACTTCAAATGATTGCGTTTAACTGTCTACTTCAGACCGTTGCCCATAACTGTCTACTTTAGACTGAGCACCTAACAAACATGCTCAATGAATAAATGCACACACCATAATGGACTAACCCATTCTCCAATTATGGGAAGCCCTTAATTTATAATTCCATGGTCATCTTGTTTTCCACAATGCTGGAATATTCCATTAAAGGAACAGATTCTATATTCCCTATTTGTCAATGCATGACTCAGCAGGAAATGAACGCGATATTTCGTTTACAAAACACAAACGTTCCCAGAGAAAAGCAAGTCACAGAAAAACAAAACTGGGCTGACTTTGCTGTGTAGAGGTAGCTGGAGGAATGATACGAGCCCCTGGTAAAATGTCAAACATCAGAGTCCACAGGCCACCTGTCTGACAGCGGTTAGGGTCACTGGCCTCTCGTAATTACTCCACGCACACTTTATCACATAGGACTGCACCGGTGCGCACACATTCACGCCTCCCTCTGCACACGCAGCGCCAGACCCCGGCCGGTCCTGCGCTCCTATTCTACACGCGCGCCCAGGAGGCGGGTCCGCCTCGGGCCGCACAGAGCGCCGTCCACTAGGGAACCCGTCGCCCACCGAGGTCATCCGTTTCCGGACGCGAGACACAGTCCCTAGGGCGGCAGCCGAGGGGTTTTCCTGAACAACCAGCAGGACAAGCGCCCCTGCAGACTCAGCCGCTGGTTCGTTTAAATCGTAGAGACACCGCTCTCCGAAGGTGGCTTTCCGCCTGCGCCGCTCAGAGGATGCAGCCGCCCGGCGACCTTTCGGCCGGTCACACAAACTCCAGGCCACCACGCCCGGCCTCGCCAACCACCCTCTCGCTCACCATTGGAGCGACTTCCCGACTCGTTCTTGCAGTAGCCGCAGCGGTAGAAGTCTTCGCCCTCGAAATACTCTACGATGCTAGGTGAGAGCGAGGTCCAGGAAGCCATGGCTTTAGCCCAACCCAGACTCAGCCGCCAGGACAAACACCGCCGCCGCCGCCACCCCACAATGCAGCGCGGCGCCAGGGCGCCCCGAGGCTCGTGGGAAAGCCACTCAGGCGTCCCCAGGCCTCGCCCAGCCCGGCGCCTCTCGGGGCTGACGCCGTGCGCGCCATCTTGACCTAGGGCAGCTTTCTGCTATTTCCGTTCTTTCCCGTGAGGGGCAGTCAGCCTCCGGGAGGGTGAGGCGGGCGCGCGGCCGGGCGGAGGGGTGGAAGGAGCTAGAAGGGAAACCGGCTGGGAACAGATGAGTACGAAAGGAGAAGTCGGAGTGGGGGCCACAACCGCTCTCACCCGGTGCAGGGGCCGGCCGGACGTGGCGGACGCCTGCGAGGGCTGGTGCTAGGCGGACGCAGCTGCCCGGTCCACAGGACACTCACCGCAGGACGCCTTGCCCTCCCTGGAGTCGCAGTAGCCGCAATGGTACCCAGCCTTGAGGCCCTTGTACTCCACGACCGAGGCCATGGCCGCCGTAGGGTCGGTGTGGGCCGGCCCCGCCTCTCGCTGCCCCGGGCTGACTCCGCAAAGCTCGGCGGCTGGAGCGGGAGGGGTGCAGGACAAGGCCGGGCGCGGAGCTCCTGGGGCTTCCCTGTCCTAGGTGGATGCTGGTCGTGCCTTCCAACCCGGTGTTTGGGCCAGGCTCCACACTGGATCAGCAGTCCTCTTCTCTGCAGAGCTGTGCGTTATCAGCCCATTTCACAGATGAAGAAACTGACTCGAGACCAGTCAGTTTCACCTAGTCATATCCTGCTGGTCTCGGGTTGAAAATTACCCTCGTGTCAGCTGGCTTAAATGCCTGCCCCTAATTACAGAAATATAAACAGACATAAACAGAGTGCTGAGAGTTCTCCAGTAGAAAACTTGGCACTTTTAAGGAAACAGTCTGATTGGCCTCCAATCCCAGCTACTCAGGAGGTGTTCATGTCCTAGGCTATGCGGGGTAAAGCACTTGCCTAGCAATCACCAGGACTGCAGAGTGAGACACTGTCTCAAAAACATACACACACACACACACACACACACACACACACACACTTTAACCAGTACCAACAAAAAAAAAAAAAAAGGAAGCCGCTATCAGAGTCAGTTGGCTTCTGCTGGGTGTCACATCCTAAAAGTTTTGAGAAAATGAAAACTCTATGTTTTAAATATAAGCATATTTCAATATTTAAAAAATGTACTTCTACAGGCCAAACAAACCGTTTATAAAGGCTGAATTCAGCTCATGGCCTTCCAATTTGGGACTGTAACATAGAGCACTGCAAAATGGAACTTGAGGGTTTTTTTTCTTTCCAAGGTAAGTAATTTCTCCAAACTTCCATCTACTGAGCACATAGCTAGCACCTGCTCCTCTTCTCTGCCCAAAAAAAATGACAGGACTATGCAGATGCTGCCTCGGGAGGCCAGGAGCCTGGTTCCTTTTCCCCAAGAGGAGGATGAGCAGTGATAACTCAGATGTGAAGATCTGCAGTGTCTCAGGGTGCTCCTCCGCCTCTGTTCCTTACTATAAAAGACCATGCTCACTGTAAATGGTGAGATGGTGATTTGAGGCAAATAGGCCCTTCCATCTCTGTGGAACTATAAGTATTTCCCTCCAAATAGAGTCCACATACACACACACAAAAAGTATACACACTACAGCAGTTCACAAAGAAGTAAATGTCTGGAAGCTAATGACCACCACTTGGAGCACCTATTGCAATTGTAGAGGCCAAAGGTAATTTGTATTAATCTCATGATGTCTCAATAAATGTAATATTAAAATATCTATATGAGTTTTTCTTGATGTATGCATGTTTTGGGCAGATTGTATATGGCCTCCTTTGATTTGGTCAGCTGCGAGCAGATGAACCTGAATATGTAAGCCTAAACACAAAACCACTATTTTAAAGAAGATACATGATGGAATAAGAAACGGGGCAAAGTGTGAATGCATTTCCTTCAACAAGATGATATTCCTTAATCTTTCCCTCCTTGTGTTCAGATAATTTAAGCCCATTTGGCCTCACAGTCAACAATAATGCTGATTGGGGCGGGTCAGTGTTTAAAAGTCAGTCATGAAGCCAGCACTCGAGAGGCTGAGGCAGGAGGATCATTGCAAGTTTGAGACCAGGCTGGACTACAAAGTGAGCTCAAGGTCAGCCTGAACTGCATAGCAAGACCTGGTCTCAAAAACAAAATGGGGCTGGGGATTTAGCTCAGTGGCATAAGCACCTGCCTTGCAAGCAGGCAGTCATGAGTTCGATCCCCAGTATCGATAAAAAGGAAAAAGACAAAAAAAAATTTAGTCATGAAACACGGAAAAACAGAAGCAAACGAGGTCCTTTCAGTGTTCTTCAAATGTCTACTGTATTTGCAATGTGAAGAGGAGGTTCTTGGCCTAGTGACACATTTCTAACCATCATTTGTACTTCATACAATCAGAAGGAACATGAGAGATGGCCATGCAGTATGCAGGGGATTGTCAAGGTCCCTCTAGGATTTCCTGCTCCTAACAGGAAATTGAGTTGAAGACTCCTGCTCCATTAGTGCCCATATCAAACTCACAACCTCGAACTTGCCAGGCAGGCAAGTGCCACTGAGCTATATCTCTGGCCCTAGTACCCATAATCTTAAGGACGCCTTCTGAGCTTGGGATTTAACTCAGTAGCATAAGCGCCTACCTGGCAAGTGTGAGGTCATGAGTTCAATCCCTGGTACCAAAAAACAAAGCCTTCACTCACTTTGTTCTTCCTGGCAGATTTGACTATTTCCAGCCCTTGCCTGGACAGGCTCTCATTTTGAATGAAAGCAAGAGCCTGTGAAATAAGAAGAGGAAAACCACCATATTCTGAACAGAAAATAGGAGGCCAGAAGGCTTTTTAGGTCTTTTTTATACACTATTTCCCCTTAATACATGTCCCGCTTTTCTTGATTTTAGTATTAATGGTCAATCATGGTCCAAGACTAATAAAGTTTCAAAATAAAAAATTTTCACATTTTAAATGTGTGATTCTTAGTGTGAGGAAATCTGCCACCCCACTCAGTCATGCCTGTCGTGAGGAAGGGTGTACATCATGCCACACTGCTGCTCTGCTGGAACTCACAACTTACTGGGATTGTAAAAACACCGGTGGTGAATTAAAGAGGCAGAGTTTAAAGGAAGAGAACTTACTTAAAAAGGGCAGAGAGAAGATAGACAGCTACTCTGGAAGACCAGGGGGCATCAGAAGCAAATACCCGTGGGTTTTTGCCCTCAGCTCCTTTTTATAAAGACTGGCATCCCTGCTCCACATGGGGCACCTGGAGCTTGTAATGGTCTGACTGCCTCTCTGGCTGGCTGTGACCCAGGCCTGGGCACCACTGCCTACATTCTTTTGGGCATTTGATTCCTTCCTGGCCTTTTGTGATGGATAAGGGTAGGGAAGAGGAGCCTCATAGAAGGGCAGCTCAGCGTTAAGACATAAGGGAACACAGGAGTGTGTCTGGTGAGAGTACAGATAGAAGTATGCATAGGTGTCCATATGTCTTTTCTATATTACCTAAGAATCCACAGCCAGGCATGGTGGCTCACACCTGTAATCCCAGCATTTGGGAGGCTGAGGTGGGAGGATCGCTGCAAGTTCCACACCAGCCTGGGCCACAAAGTGAGCTCAAGGCCAGCCTGAACTGCATAGCGGGACCTCATCTCAAAAAGACAAAAAAAAAGGGAAAAAAAAAAAATCCTTGGTGGCTGCCTCTTGTCTCTATCTTATTAGGTAAAGGTAGGAGCTGGGTACCCTGGTCTTTCTTGTTCCTGGCTACATCCCTGTGTTGCCTCAGACTCTTCCTGCTAAATTCCTACCTGGCACCTTCTCAGACCTGGTTCTGTCTGTTTACCTTTGTCTTTCTAATTGCTGGAGTCTAACTGCAGAGGCAAAAGCTGCCTTAGTAAGATTTTCTATTGATTTATTTAGTAAAACTTAATGAGATCCTATTTCTCCTCTTTCCTGCCTGTGACCCCCCAACCCCGTTCCTACAATGCCCAGCACATGAAGCATCCCATGTTGTATATACAACCTGTCTGCCCCAGTGGTCAGTTAGCTATTAAGGTATTGCAGCGTTTGCATTTGGGTAACCCTTATCTTAATATGACCCTAGAGTGCAAGCGTAGTGATACTGGCAATTTGGATATGCCAGAGAAGCCATAAGTGCTTAAGTCCAAAAGTGAAATTCTTTGGCTTATTAGGCAAAAAAAAAAAATCTAATGCTGAGGCTCCTAAGATCTATATTTTGAGAAACTCCACTCACATACCTTTTATTAGATTATATGGTTATATTTGTCCTATTAATTTCTTACTGTGCCTAATTTATAAATTAAACTTTATCACAGTTGTATGTGTATGCGTGTGTGTTAATCCTTAACAGCAACTTCACAAAACAAGAAACATAAGTCACAGAGACAGAATAACTTTCCCATGGTCATACAACTAGTAAACCATTTACATAAGAAGGAGAAACAGTCATAAAAATAAAAGAAACTAAAGAGAAAAAGAAATCAACGCAAGTTTGGACCTATGTGGGGCAGTGGTACCTAGATATCTTTATTTTGCTAAAGGTCAGAGACAAAATTTGAATCTTCCAGGCCTAAATGAGGATTACAAAAAAAGAAAAAGGAGCAAAACTTTCCAGGTACAACGGGATCGGTTGCATTCCCAGATACTTAGGATGCTGAGGCAGGAGGATCTCAAGCTCAATGCCAATCTGGGGAATTTAGCAGGATGCTGTCTCAAAATAAAAAGAGCTCACTGAGAGAGCATGAGGCCCTGGATTCAATCCCCAGTACTCCCTCCCCCAGAGAGGCAAAGTTTTAATTACTTTACTCCTTTGGGGAGGAAAAGAAAAACATTGTTACAATGTCCTGCTGCTGATAAGATGCTAGCAATAGGGGTTGTCTTTGCTTTAATTTTCTTACTTGACAGAAAAAAAAATGTTGATAATGCTATACTAAATCTTGGTAACATTTTTTATTTTACCAGATATGATATCTAGCCTGGAAAACACATCATATATTAGGCCTTGGCAATGTGAAGAGCAGTTCACGTTCCTTGAATGAAAGAGAACAGTGAAATAGCTTCTTCTTTCCCTCCACTAAGGTGTTAGAAGTAGAGGGGATCTTGGTTAAGTCAGTGGGAAAAGGGCAAAAGACAGAGAGGAAAACTAAGGGCAGAGAGAAGGGCATACTAGTCTGGGCACACAGAGAGAAGTAGTGGGAACACAGACAGAAGACTGGATGCTTTTCTCTACTGTTGAGACTGGCTGTCCAACTTGGTAGATATTAGCCACATGTAGCTCCTAAACTAGACTAAAAAGTACCTCAGGGGGCTGGAGATTTAGCTCAGTGGCATAAGCGCCTGCCTTGCAAGCAGGCAGTCGTGAGTTCGATCCCCGGTACCGATAAAAACGAAAAAGACCAAAAAAAAAAAAAAAACCAAAATCTACACCCAGTCATATCATTCAAACTGCAGGAAATCAAAGAAAAAACTCTCTGAAAGCCAGGGAGAGGTAGAGACAGAGAGACAGAGAGATAGACACAGAGACAGAGACAGAGAGAAAGAAAACCCTACATAGAGGACCCTGGAGCAAGAATTACATTTGACTTCTCTTCAGAACACATGGAAGCAGGAAGAATGGAATAAAATAGTTAAACTGTTGCAAATAAATCTAGAATTCTGTATCCACTGAAATTATCCTTCAAAAGTTAAAGAGAAAATTCCCTAGATGAACAATAACAGAGGGACTTTGTTGCTAGTATACTTGCTTTGCTAGAAATGTTAAGCTGTTCACAAAAAAGAAAAATAATAAAGCTAAGATATTTTAATTTGCATACAAAGGAAGAGCATTAAAGAAGATATAAATGGAATAAAATAATTCATTTTTAAAACTTAATTGATCTAACTGGTAATAAATGGTTTAAAATAATAGCAACTTGTACTCAGTAATTACACCTTATGGATAG